TCTGAGGGGTACTGGGAGGGCCCTTACTGGAAAATTACTAATGCCTATGTTCACAGAATCAATTCCTCTTTTTAAAGAACATCTGATTTTGTAAGCAGTGATATCAGCAGGTGGCTACCTATGTCAGCTATGACTAATACCTATGTTGGCTAAATCAAATTATCTTAAGCAGGGAGAATTCATCTTTGGATTATAAAAAGAGGAACAGAAACAGGGTGGAGATGCCCTAAGACAGCTTGCCCTAAAAAGAGGAACAGAAACACAGGGAGACTGTCATACAAAATGGAATTTTACAGAATGGAATTTTTGCAGCTCTGTTCTGGGCAAGGGGCACAGAGGGAGCCCACGTGAAAATTTATATCTCCCCACTTCTTATTATCTACCTTTTATTTTGCTCTTTGCTTATACTTCGGGTTTCTCGTGTAAGGGAAATTATGGGATATTTAAGCTTGTGTCGGATTTATTTTACTTAATGGTTTTGGCCTGGGGTGGTAGCATAGCCTATAATCCTGGAGGCTGAGACAGGAGGATTGCTGTGAGTTTGAGGGCAACCTGGGCTGCATAGCAAGTTCAAGGACAGCCTGAACTGCTGCCTAGTCAGACCCAGTCTCAAAAAACATGGTCTTATATAACGGGACACACGTTTAGATACCTACCGCATTGTTTCTCTGGTGTGAGAAACCGAAAGTGGAAATAAGGACAGAGATGTACAGTGGATGTTGTGAAATGGGAAGAAAGTGTTCAAATGAGAAGGGTAACGGGAAGGGGACGGAGAAAGAAAGAAAGTGAAAATAGAAGGAAAAATGTAACAGCTTTTGTACTTAGGGAGGGGAGGGGCTTGAAGGGATTGGGATAAAATTTATTAATTTTTTAAAAAAGCATGATCTCAAGGTGCATCTGTTTTCTTACCGGTGACTCAAGTTTATCTTTTTCTTTTCTTTTCTTTTCTTTTTTTCTTTTTTTTCTTTTTTTTTTTTTTTTTTGAGACAGGGTGTCACTGTGTAGTTGAGACTGACCTGGAACTCACTATGTAGCCCAGGCTGGTCTCGAACTCACAGCGATCCTCCTGCCTCAGACTCCCGAGTGCTGAGATTACAGGTGTGAACCACCATGCCCAGCCACGTTTATCTTTCTTTATGACAATGTCACCAGTATAATACAGAAGAGGAAAATTTTCAGGTTTTTTTCCTTGTGAGAAGTTAAAGGCTTGATATATGTTTTTTTTTTTTTTTTTGGTATCAGGGATCAGACTTGGGACCTTGCACTTTCGAGGCAGGTGGTGGAACCACTGAGCTACATCCCTTGCCCTCATTAAGCCTTTTGCTAACCAGAAAGCTGTAGGAAGGAAGTTACATGAGTTTGCATTTTAAAGTTTTCAAAGTTGAGCCTGATGTGGTGGTGCACTGTAATCCCAGCCCTCAGGAGGAGGAGGCTTAACACTGGAGGATTACAGTGAGTTCAAGACCAGCCTGGGCCACGTGGTGAGGCTCTGTCTCAAAAAGAAATTGTGAAGTACTTAATTAAGCTTGATACTTGTGGTATGACCAGTCTTT